GTGGCTAAATTTTGAAAATATTATTCAAAGTCAGTAAAACAAAGGAAAACAGCAGGAATGTACACTACCAATAAAAAGTTTGGGGGCAGTGAGATTTTGAAAAAATACAGTAATATTGTGAAATATTATTACAATTTAAAATAACCATTTTAAGATATTTTAAAATGTAATTTCATCTAATCATTCTAATATGCTGATTGGATGCTCAAAAAAATTTCTTATTATTATCAATGTTGATAACAGTTGATCTGCTTAATATTTTTGTGGAAACTGTCTCACATTTTTTCAAGATTCTTTAATAAATAGAACATTGAAATGAAGAGCATTTATTTGAAGTAGAAATAATTTGTAACATTAAATTAAATCACTTCTGACCAATGTAACGCTTACTATCCATGCTGAATAAAAAACGACTTCCTTTCAGGAAAAAAAAACATCTTACTGACACCAACTCTAAAAACAAATGGTGCTAAATAGCACCTAAAAGTGGTTCTTTGGCTCGGAATCATAGGGGAGCCACTTTAAGTGCTACCTATATCTTTGAAGATGGTGCTATATAGCACCTTAAACACCCCAAAGAACCGCTGAAGAACAATTGCAGGTTCTTTATAGGTGCTATATAGCACTTAAATTGGTTCCCTATGATTACGAGCCAAAGAACCACTTAGCAGTGCAATATAGCACCTCAACTACCACAAAGAACTGCTAAAGAACCACATTTGTGTGTGTGTGTGTAGGAACGGTAGTGTTTTGTTCCATCACATGAATTAGTCATGAATTGAGTAAAATATTTATTTTTAGTTATGTAAATATTGTAAATATTTATAATAATAATGTAAATATTCAGTTATGTCACATACTTACAGGGTTAGTTCACCCCAAAATGAAAATTCTGTAATTAATTACTCACCCTCATGTTGTTCAAAACTCGTAAGACCTCCGTTCATCTTCGGAACACAAATTAAGATATTTTTTGATGGAATCTGAGAGCTCTCTGTCCCTCCCATAGACAGCAATGCAACTGTAATGTTCCCAGACAGAAACGTAGCAAGGACATCGATAAAACAGTCCATGTGACATCAGTGGCTCAACTTCAATTTTGCGAAGCTACGAGAATACTTTTTATGCGCAAAGAAAACAAAAATTACATAATTTATTTAACAATTCTTCTCCCCCGAGTTACGTCTTCTGCCATTTTGGAGAGTAGGCTACCCAAGAACGTAATTGGCGTTGTTTAAGTTAGGGGAGAAAGCGTGGGACAGAGAGCTCTCAGATTCCATCAAAAATATCTTAATTTGTCTTACGGGTTTGGAACGACATGAGGGTGAGTAATTAATGACAGAATTTTCATTTTGGGGTGAACTAACCCTTTAAATTATATCATTGTATAGATTGTAAAGTTAGTGGTTTAAAGTTTATGTTACAAACAGCTCAATTTTGAGGTAAATGACAGCATATAAACGATGCTGTTGATAGAGTATTGATAAAGTTTTAAAAAAGTAGATTTTTGAAACAGTTTTGTCCCATTATGACACCTCCTTCATGAGGACCACAAGCTAGGTCACCACAATGGTTTTACTATCATTGCAGAGATGGAAAAACAAGCCTCCACACAGACACACACAGTCACTGACCTGCTGAGCACACTGTCTGCTCGGTCCTGCTCGTCCTCTTGAGTTTGCACAGAGAGTCGATGAGAGCAGGGAGATCCCTCAGCAGCCGACTGGCCTGTCATACTGTACACACAACACACCTTTACTTACAGCGGGAAAAATAAGTATCGAACATGTCACCATTTTTCTGAGTAAATATATTTCTAAAGGTGCTGTTGACTTGAAATTTTCACCAGATGTCGGTAACAACCCAAGTAATCCATATATACAACGAAAACAATACAAATAAGTTTAGAAATTAAGTTCTGTACAGCCAAGGAAACTCTCAATTGGTTTCAGAGAAAGAAAATAAAGCCTCTAGAATGGCCCAGCCAATCACCTGACTTGAACCCAATAGAAAATAAGAACTAAAGATTAGAGTTCATAGAAGAGGCCCTGGATTACTTTGGTTGTTACCGACATCTGGTGAAAATTTCATGTCATCAGCACATTTAGAAACATATTTACTGGGAAAAATGGTGACGTGTTCAATACTTATTTTACCCGCTGTACATGCCATTACAACTTTTAAATAAAGTTAAATATATATAACAATCACAGTTTGTTAAAAACATTATAGTCTCCAAAGGGACTATAATGTAAAACATTTTTATGGACATCCGCAGTTGGGCGACATTTTATCCCCAAAGGCGTTAGTGTGATCTCGTCACTGCATGTGCCATTACATTTCACTGATGCTCGCTAGATTTCAGCAGAACATGGCCCTTCAGACTTCTCAGGAGCGCATGGAGTCAGTGGTGAATTGCAGAGGGACAGCAGGTCAGGGGAGTTACCAGCAAACACTTCTCACCTGGGAATGTGGTCACTATGGCGATCACCTCAGCTTACCGTAAGATATAGACAGAACAGGGAGAGAGGGACAGCGAGTGATTTAATAACTACTGCTTCAAAAGCGGACTGAGGAATGATCTCATGGTTAATGATGGAACGGCTTTAGGGACTGATGGATGGATGGATGGTGCCATGTCTAGATGAATGTTAACAATGTTTTTGTTAATTGCCTCATCATTAAAGAAACACAGAACACAGAGTGACACACAACTCTTCCCAGAGGACAAACACACAGAGCCAATGTCTCACGAGAAATCACGGTTGCTAACACAAGTTCTTAAGACACACACACACACACACACACACACACACACACACAGCTGGAGTTTTAGTTTTATCTTAAGTACAGATCATTGTCCTCTTTAACTAAAACACTTTGGAAGTATTTTTGGAATATATATATTTTAAAGTTTTTATGAAAAATAATGTTACTGTAAGAGCTATAAAGACGTTCTTTAAAGACATTAATTGATTTAAGTATTTGTTAAAGAAAAAAGCAATTTGCCATAAATATTAAGAATTTAAAAAATATGAAATATTATTTTAATATCAAATATTATAAATACAATAAAGAACACATACATTTTATATGATAAATTATTCAAATTAAATAAAACATGTTATAAATCAGTCAATAAAAAAATCTGTTTATGATAAATTATGTGTATATAAACGTACCTATGACAGATAAGAGATGAATGTGAGCTTTTTTGCATGTCTAAGACAAATTCCCTGACTCACCTTCAGCGGCTCCTCTTCTTTAGGATCCCAAAAAACTCTGGAATGTTGGTCCATATTACATCCTTATGCTCAACAAGAAACACACAAAGTGTGTTTCTGATCTTCATACTAGAAATGTACAGTTCTCTGTTTATGTATTCTGTGTAAATAGAATAATACTATGATCGGTCATACCATCTCACTTTCTCATCTCTAGCGTGGAAGTCACTCCAGCAAAAGAGGTAGAGAGAGAGAGACAGCGGGTGAGATAGAAAGGCTGGGTATGCAGGGGCAGGGCAAAAGAGAATGGGAGGAGAAAAAATGGGACACTGAACAGCACAGAGTTACAAAATAGCACGGACAAGAGCTGTTTTCATTACTTCAAATTCCTCCATCTTGTAAAAACACTGCCGGAGTTTACCCTTGTTTTACCTTGTGTATTATGAAGTCTTTAAATTTTGCCTTGCTCTTCTGTAACAGAATTTTTCCATACTGGCTAAACACTTTCTGGCTCAGCCTGTTACGATGTTGACAGACAGGTGGGACGATGCAATGAACATTTTATGGTCTTCCACAGAAGAGATGCAAATTTTAGATGCACCTTTGAGAGATACAAAGATGAACTAAATGGATTAGATTAATTCGATGAAAGATGAATTAAATGAACTTGGAATTCCACAAATTAATATAAAAATTCCATTATTTATCTCAGTTACACAACAAAATTGCAAATACAACAACTTTTTACATCGATTTAAAATGTTTTAAATAGTGTTTTCTTCATCTCTCTTATGTGTCTCTGCATGAAAACAAGGACTCTGATCTGTTTTCTTCTACAATAAATGTGTGCATATTTACAGGTGCCCACACAAAATCAGGTAAGACTCCAATGGGAAATTATATGAATATACTTGGTTTGGTTTCTGAGCAGCTCATTTCTCCTTGGACTCCAGATTCAGTGTACCAGTAACAGCTGCTCAGCCCTGCTAACTCTGAACCCAACGGACCAATCAAAACATCAAAACCTATCACTGTTCTAACTCTTGAGCCCAATGGGCCAATCAAATCACTACCCTGTTGTGGCTCAAGGCCCAACAGGCCAATCACAGTCATTGTACCAAGTCTGAAATCTATTCTAGTCTCATCATAATATCAGAGAATCAGCATGTCAGCTGATTCTTTGTAGAAAAACTGATTTCCCTAATAAATAGCTTACAGTCATAAACAGAGAAAAGGATTTGCAAAATGTTTATTTACATACACACAAACATATATATATATATGTTTTTGAGCCAGCTGATCAAGCCGTACATTGCCAAAAGCATTTATTTTGATAAACCAAAATAAAATAAGTGAACATAAAGATCAGTGTTTCTCTAAAGACATAAGACATAACTAATCTGATAAACTGGGGATTTCACTGCTTTGGACAAAATGATGAGACTTTATTCAAATCATCATCTTGATCACATGCATTTTAAATGAAAAATTCCCATAATCCTTCGAAGCAGAGGCAAACCATGTGTGCAGCAGGAAGAAACAGAAGTCACAATTTTCCTCAACATTTGTCTGATATCAACACTGGTGTAGGTTAATGTGGTAGGTTAATAAGGTATTTGAAAGACAAGCAGGTATTAAAACATGAACGCAAATAAAAAGAGCCCTATTACAAAGAAATGTATAATAATCTTTAATTCAATTATTACTGACTGAGTTCAGAGCAGGACCCCAGAACTAACCAGTAACTACCATGTAACATTTGTAATTTTGTCTAATTGAGTTTCCTGCGTGTTATTGTGGACAATGAAAGCTGCACACCCATCCTCAACTGCATAAAAAGAAAACTAAACACAAATAAACAATGAGGACAATATTTCCAGGGGGGATATATTTCTTACAAAATCGCATATATACAATCTCTCTCTTTCACACACACCCGGTTCTCTTTAAACCTGGTCTCTGAGTTTGGCCAGTCTCTGAGAGAGATCGTCCTATAGTAACAAAGACAAATACAAAACCATTAGAGTACATATCGGACATGAGTTTGTCCGTACTTCTATATTCAAGTATGACTGTGTTATAATACCTGTTCTGCAGATGCTACGCTGGTTCCCACTGATCCTGTCTGACCTTGAGGAAGCTCCATATTGAGGTCCAGCCTAAACACACAAGTACAGACATTGGTTTTTATCTTAGGTTTTTGTCCTAAATTGGGTTGAGTTACAAAAGAGATTTCATCAACTGAATATTGGTAGTTATTATCGGATTAAATTGTCTTATTAAATCAATAATTGAATCATAGTCTGATATATTATTTAGTAGTAGTAATTAATTGTACACTACTGTTCAAAAGTTTGGAATTAATGTTTTTTTCTTCTATTGAGCAAATGCATTGAATTGACCAAAAAACGGACATTTACCATGTTACAAATGGTTTCTATTTTAAAAAATGCTGTTCTTTTGAACTTTTTTCCTTCAAAGAATTCTGAAATAAATCTCGGTTTCCACAAAAACAGTAAGTAGCATATCCTTTTTTTAACATTTATATAAAATTTTTTTACTTGAACACCAGATCAGCATATTAGAATGATTTCTGAAGGACCATGTGACACTGAAGACTGGAGTAATGGTGCTGAAAATTCAGCTTTGCCATCCCAGGAATAAATTACATTTTAAAATAAATAAAAAAACAATTATTCTACATTTTAATAATATTTCACAATATTACAGTTTTTACTGTATTTCTGATCAAATTAATACAGCCTTGGTGCACATAAGAGACTTTTCAAAAACATCAATAAAAACTTAACGACACCAAACTTTTGAATGGTAGTGTGTGCATTATAGTATCTACTTAAAAAAAAAAAATGAATCTCAGCATTTGAAATGTTCTTACCCGGCCTCATCCGCCATTTCCATCATCAGAGCATCGACTTGACCCTAAAACACAGCACACAGTGTCACAAAAGGCAAAACAACTACTATGTCAGTGTATATCTGGCCTACAGTGCGGTCATTGTAGTAAGCGAGTGTATGTATCACCTGTGGTGTAGTGAGTGTTGTGGTGCTGCTCATTGTGTCCTCCATCTGAGCCGTCTGTACATCCAGAGTTTCAAACTGACGCTCAAACTTATCCATTAGAGCTGAAATCTGACAAATCAGAACACTGCCAGTCAAATCTAGACAAATCAGATTACCGCAATTGTTTTTATGAGCTGCTCAATGAAAATACTTAAAGAACAAAGAAGTTGTCCTCCCACTTTCTCAAGGTTCATGCTCTTCAGGGTTGCATCCATGCCCTTCACCACCCCAGCCATAGATTTGGTGACCTGGAGAATAAAAATCAAGAGTTGACTGTTAAATCTAGAGCTCCGCTGAAGTTCTTTGGCTGCAAACTTGAGGTTGAACAAATTCTCTGAAGTCACACGTCAAGGAACGATTTTTTAAAAGAACCGCAGTGTTTGTGTTATTATCTGATACCTTCAACAGATTGAAGACCCCGCTACACTGTAACAATGACATTATAAACAAACAATGTACACCGTCTCGAAACTGAACAAACTAGTCTGGCTGAGAGTTCAGATAAATAACACATAGGCGGCGACATTACGTAATTCTACGTCACAGTCGTACCTGGCGGAATTTGACGATGTTTTTGATAACGCAATTACCAAAATAATCACTTTTAACTATATATACTGACAAAATTAAAAACGGTACAGGGAGCTCACGCCCTTATTTAACTTTCCGATTTAAATCGTTTCACTACGCTACATACTAAAATCCATTCCCTAAATCAATCTCTGGAGGTATCCACTGACGAGAAAAGAAATCCCGCAAATGCGTTGTTTGGTATAACGGCTATATAATGTGACCCGACTTGTTGATATATACTAAAATGTTGCTAACACTGAGTTAAACCCATAAATAGCTCTCATTAAAAGTGATTATGGTCCCATCGACAGTGAATCTTGGGCCCGACCACTCCAGTCCGCGAGGATACTTTCCATGTTGGACATAACAATCCGGTTCTGCTGCTGGCTGGTGCTTCTTGAGGAAGTGTGACGATTAGACGGCAGTAGTTTTTAGTCCAGTCTCTGCCAAGCTCTTCGTGTGGACCACTAACTGTCTCCCGCTCTGTTTGTTGTAATTTTCCTGTATTCACTTCCGGCTTCTCCAAACAACTGGAGTGATGTCACAGTCATGCGCTCAGGTCAGCGATCGCGGTGATGTCACGGCCCACGGGCAAAACATGAAAGAGACGCTAACGCGCCTACTGAAATTTGATCCATTTTTTAAATAAATATAATTTCAAAATAATAAGAACAACAACAAACAATAATAATAAATAAATAAAATAATATATAATAATACATCATCGTTTTATCTACATTCATGTCCTTTTGGCTGGTAGAGATCAGATAGAGACTAATCAGAGTTTTACACCTTTATTATAAAAAACAATCCAAAATGTGTAGAAAAAAAAGGACACATACGTTAATGGCATCTAACATCTTGACCATCTTCACTATTATTGTTACTGTACAGATAGAGGCTTTGTCTCAACATGACAACAGATCCCTGATACAAAAAAACAAAAAACAAACAGAACCGGAGGAGGTTAATGCTGTATCTTGATTGGCTGGGAAACAGCTTTCAAACAGGTGAGGACAAGCAGTTCAGGGGTTGGATGGCGAGGGTGCTTTCCAACTTTCCAAAATAGTGCAAGAGAGAAAAACAAAAGCTAGAAAGAGGGATAAACAGCAGAAGATAAGAGGGGAGGGAGTGAGAAGATAAGAGGGGAGAGAGAGAGAGAGAGAGAGAGGTACCAATGTTTTAAAAAAAATTTGTACAGAGCCTTTGACACCACAAACCAAACTCAGATTCAACTTATGATCTCTTCAATTTATAATGCTTTGTCTTCTTCGTCCTGAAAATACACCAGTGAAACACATACCATTGATTACATGATGAGACGATTTTCAGAGAGGATTTCTTGTTGTCTTCCTTGTTTAAAACAGCCTTTTCAGGCTTTCATGATAATGGCGTAGAAAAAAAAAACATTGCAAAAAGTAAAATAAAAAAGGTGCGAAAACAAACAGTCTGTTGCTCTTCAGATAGCTTCAATTTACAGTATATCTGAACCAGTCAAGAGTCCAGGGTTCAGACATCACCTCACATCCACCAATCACCTGCCACATATACTTGACATAAAATGTGCAAACATTATCCATACTAATGTTCTCCTTACTGCAAGATAAGAATGAATCAAAGTGTATCATACAACAGTGGAAAAATATAAATATATTCTGTAAAAACAGTCTGAAGTGTTTTTGTGTATTTGATCATGAGGAGAAGGGAGAAGTGTATTTTCTCCTCCGTTTCCCATAATCCTCCTCGTGTCTGTGCTCAAATGGATGAGGATTACCATGAGTGATCTGGAAGTAGTTAATGCATCTCAGAGTTTGCACCTGCACCAAAGTTGATTATATTATTGAACAGAGGTAAATGCATAACCTGATTGAATAGTAAAGTCAAGTCAGTTGAATTACATGGCAAACTTAAGTGTTCTCAATGACCCCCTGTGTAAAATACAACAGTGGAAAAATATAAATATATTCTGTAAAAACAGTCTGAAGTGTTTTTGTGTATTTGAACAAGAGAAGGGAGAAGTGTATTTTCTCCTCCGTTTCCCATAATCCTCCTCGTGTCTGTGCTCAAATGGATGAGGATTACCATGAGTGATCTGGAAGTAGTTAATGCATCTCAGAGTTTGCACCTGCACCAAAGTTGATTATATTATTTAACAGAGGTAAATGCATAACCTGATTGAATAGTAAAGTCAAGTCAGTTGAATTACATGGCAAAATTAAGTGTTCTCAATGACCCCCTGTGTAAAAAAGGGTACGAAAAGAATGCGAGATGGAGAACGTGAGAGGAGAGCAGCACCATCTTTCTGACAGAATAGATTCCTCGGAGGGAAAGAAGCCAGAAACCAAAAGAATCAAAGCCAAACAGGAGGAGGAAGGGAGGATGAACACAGAAAGAGGGGAGGAAAGTGGACTCTATACCACTCTAGACCAGAATAAGGCAGAGGTGGCTGATTAGTTGATGGCGTGGTAGTTTCTGTGGAAGCCACAGAGAAGAGAGAGCACCACAGTCCAGGAAGAGTCATGAACATCAAGTTTCGGAGATGACAACAACAGTAAAAAACACAAAAAGACAGTACTAAAAACAAAATCCCTGCAGTATCGCTGTAGTTAGTCTGTGTAAAGATCAGAAAATGTCAATGTGTCCAGCCCATAAGATGGCTGACCCTTGCACGTTCAGTCATGCGACGGACCCTTCCAGAACGCGACATTCCTAGATTCAGCGGGTCTGTCGTCGGCCCCTCATCCTCAGAGTCATCGTTGTACAGAACAGTCCTTCGACCCTGGTTACGAGTGTTAACCCGCCCTGACTTTGGAGTACTTTGATTTGACCTCTGACTTCCAGTTTTTGTTGATGACGAAATGACATCGTCTTCCTCCTCCTCCAATGACTCCTCTTCCTCCTCAGGTTCCTCCTCTTCCCCCTCGGGTTCCTCCTCTTCCCCCTCGGGTTCCTCCTCTTCCTCCTCGGGTTCCTCCTCTTCCTCCTCGGGTTCCTCCTCTTCTTCATCTCTTTCATTTGCTCGCCGTGCTCGTTTCACAGGAGTTGTTTGTGCTTCTCCTTTGCGCTTTCGCTTTGTGTTATCGACGGAGGCCGCTGCCGCTTTGCCTTTCTCTTTGTGTTGCGGGGCTTTGCTGTAGTCGTGATCGCCGCCGTCGGCAAAGCCGCCCACCTCAGCCCCGCTGTCATCACTCTCGGACGAAGACGATGAGGTCCCGGAAGAGGACGACGATGCGGATGTTGAGGATGATGATGAGCTGGTGCTCTCGCATTCAGAGACCTCTCCCTCTTCAGGTAACGCGGCCCCTCTCCGATGTGAACTTCGACCTCCGTTTGGCAGTAAGCCATGGCCACCTATATGTAGAAGCACAGAGGACACAATTTCATGGTCAAATTGGAGGTAAAGCAAATTCTTTGCAATATACAGTACAATTCAAAAGCTTGTGGTCAGTAAGATGTTTTCATGCTTTTAAAATAAGTCTCACCAAGGCTGCATTTATTTGATCAAAAATACAGTAAAAACAGCAATATTGTGAAATATTATTACTATTTAGCACAACTTCTATATTTAAAAATATAATTTATTCCTGCAATGGCAAAGCTGATTTTTCAGCATCATTGCTCCAGTGTTCAGTGTCACATGATCCTTCAGACATCATTCTAATATGCTGATTTGCTGCTCAAGAAACATTTCTTATTATCAGTTTTGCTGCTTAACATTTTTGGTGTGTGATGCTGTGATACTTTTTTTCTTACTTAAAAAAAAGATCAAAAGAACAACTTTAAAACAGAAATCCATGAAAAAGTCCTTGCATTTCATTCATTTCTTAAAAAAAATAAAATCTTACTGAACCCATGCTTTTGAAAGGTAGCATATGTTTGTGTATTAGTGTGTACCTGAGGATTTGTTTGGTGTAACACGGCTGCGTGTAACTCTGTTGGCTCCTGCCTGCTCTGATGAAGAGGACAAGGAAGATGAGGAGGAAGAGGATGAGGATGAAGAGGATGGCTGACTGTCTTCATCGACTTGTGCAACATTCAAATCTGGTGAAAGAAGTGAACACTTTATTTAGAATGCATATAAACTAAATTCATCATTATTATGATCATTTCCAATTATATTCCAGTGGTTGATTTTAGACAACCCCAATTTGGAAAGAATTTTTACCACTGGTAATTATGACATCTCGAACTCTCTTACACACCTTGAGAGGATTTCCGTGAGCGGCCTTTTGCAGACACCTGGGAAGTTTTCTTTCCTGATTTTGGTTTCCCTTTGGGGCTGCAGAACACACAGGTTTAAAAAAGGGGTAAAAAGAAATGAAAAATCTATGTGCAGTCTGTACCATGGATTTGACAGTGAATGTACATGTTTTACCTGTTGGGATAAGAGCTCTGTAATCTCTTGCTGCAACTGAGTCTCTGTTGACTCCTACGTTGATTCTGAACTGCAGATTTGTAGTCTGAGATTATGGGAATGATCTGATTCTCAAAGAACGCCGAGAGACTCAGAGTCATACTGTAGATCTAAACAACACACAATATCGGAGTCATACTGTGGATCAACTGTAAGACCTAAACCTACTCTGACTATTTTACCATAGCTGCATAAAGGCAGACAAAAAAAAAATCAGTCCAAGGAAGACTGCAAATCCATATTAAAAAGACAGAAATATACGGTTTTAGTTACACAAAAGTACAATTAACAGCACAACAGCATTAGAAAAAAAATGTCTATCAACCATATACATTACTGTTTAAAAGTTTGAGGTCAGTAATAGGGCTGCAACAAACGATTATTTTGATAATCAATTAATCTAACGATTATTAGAACAATTAATCGACTAATCATCGATTTCGCTGATTAATCAGTAGATATTTATTGATTATTCAGCTTTTGCAATGAGTTAAAATATTTATAATTTATATATAACAAATATATAAAATAGTTATTCATATTCAAACAAATAAATTAAGGTAATCACTTCAGCTTTTGACAGTCATATTATGTAATTACAATTATACAATTCATTTATACAAAAATATATTTGGCACACAAAATGAGATGGCAGAGAAACTTTTATTCACCATTTAATTAGCTATATGAGAAAGTAGCTGAATGACACATCATTCTGCCTAAAATCTCTTTTTGTAAGTCATATGGATAAGAAACAAAATAAAGGTTAAGTGATAAGACGTTTTATTTTTGGATAAACTATTTTATTCACAACATAATCTCTCTTAAAATACCTCATAGGGTTATAATAATCAAAACAGTCCTGAGCTAGATCAAGCTTTGATCTCTGCAAACCAAACTATAACGTCTCCGGTTAAATCTTACCGGCCAATGACGCTCGAGCGCTCGAGCTAGGGGCGGAGCCACCCACTATATAGGTCGACGTCCAGCGTCATTGCCTCAGAATCTTTCGACTGTTCGAATAGGTACAAGACTCTGAGGATTACAACACAGCAGCGCACGCAGTGTCTCGTTCCCTCCTTTCAGGGAACCGAGGTTAAGTACGTAACCAGAGACGTTTCCCATCAAGTTCGGTCTCTTGACACTGCGTAGCTTACGCTTGGGAAACGCGTACAATCCCGCTGTGTTGTATTCCACACACCCGGTGAGAAGATTCTAATGAGCCAGACCCAATAGAGCCGAGCCCGTTAACTGCTTCATAGAACACTCAGGGAAACCAACGCCCTCCAGCTTTAGTCGAGCGGGACTAAGCACAACACTACACATGGACTGGCCGCAGCACTGCTGGAGCCACGTACATATACAGCATTTACCATTTGATACATAAGAAAAACAGCGCACCTACCGCGGTCGACAACAGCTCGAACGCATGTAGAGAGCCGCTGACTATAATTATCTATTATAGGCATGTCTTGGGTCTACCGGACCTAGTCGAAACCACCCTGATCGTCTGGGGGGCGTGGCCAGGTGCAGGCAGCAGCCAACTGCCAAGCTGTAGATACATCACTGCACAGACAGAACGAGTGGTGCGAATGACGGAATCTCCAGGTTGTAAAATCTAGCAAAAGTGTCCTGTGAAGACCATTCTGCTGCCAGACAAATATCCTGAATCGACATACCTTTTGCCCAAGCCCACGACAAAGCCATTTTTCATGTGGAGTGGGCATGTACTCCCAACGGATAGGTCTCATTCTTAGAAGCACACGCCAATGCGATCGCTTCCACAATCCAATGTGGCAGCCACTGTTTTGACACTGGCAGTCCCTTGGTACGGCCACCGAAACATATAAACAGCTGTTCTGCTTGTCTGAAATGACTAGTCCTCTCCAGATAAACTCGCAGAGCACAGACTGGGCATAGCAGGTGTGTCGCTGGCTCTGAATCCTGAGGAGCAAACGCCTGAAGCGTGATGACCTGTGCTCTAAACGACGTAGACAGCACTTTAGGCACATTCCCCCGTCTAGTTAGCTCCGGCCTGGGGTGCCACACTGAGCCCTTTGCCTGAGATAAGAGATCTCTCCGTAACGAAATCGGCCATGGGGGAACCGTTATAAACTCTACCAACTCCGGGAGCCACGGCTGGTTGGGCCAATTCGGCGCGACCAGAAGCACTGTCCCCCTTTCCTCTCTGATTTTCTGCAGCACTAGCGGCATAATCTTCACTGGGGGAAAAGCATATTTGCGTTTCTTGGGCCAGCGACTCGAAAGAGCATCCCCCTCCAGAGGCGCGTTTGTCAGCGAGAAGAACAGCTGGCAATGCGCGTCTGGAGAACTCTGGCAAACAAGTCGATCTCTGCCTCTCCGAACAGGCTCCAAATCAGCTGAATGGTCTGCGGGTGAAGCCTCCATTCCCCGTGAACTGGACCACCCCTGGACAGCATGTCCGCGCCGTAGTTCTGACTGCCGGGAACATGAACTGCTCGAATCGACAGAAAGTTTCTGTCCGCCCAAAGGAGGAAACGTTCCGCCAGCCTTTGAAGTGAACGTGAACGAATACCTCCCTGATGGTTGATATAGGATACCACCGTCATGTTGTCTGTCCGAACTAGGACGTGTCAATCCTTTATCAGTGGAAGAAAGCCTTGCAAAGCTAAAAATACTGCCTTCAGCTCTGCCTTCAGCTTTATATACCACTTTGCTTGCGCACTCGTCTAAGTGCCATAAGCCGGTCTGCCGTCGCAAAGGGCTCCCCAGCCCGTCAATGACGCAGGAGTCTTTGTGTGACGATCTATCTGTTGACCACTCTGCCCATCGAGACTCCCTGCTCGAACATCCTCATGTTGAGCCTGGGGGCTAGCGTCTGCATGCATCCGCGAATCACCAAGACACGCAACTGACCGTTCTTCCACGCGTTGCTTGGCACCCAGGATTTCAGCCATAGCTGAAGTGGTCTCATATGCAGAAGCCTGAGTTGACACACCACAGCTGCTGCTGCCACACACCCTAACAGTCTCTGAAAGCATTTCAGAATCACCACTCTCCCCGGTTTGAACGAGGTGAGAGCGTTGATCAAAGCCTGCATTCGCTCTTGAGAGAGACGCGCTCTCATCGATAGCGAGTCCAAATCCATTCCTAAGAATGTGAGTCTGCGTGGGGCGAAGCTTGCTCTTCTGCACATTGATCGTCAGTCCTAGATGCTGCAGATGTTCTAGAAGCTGACATTTGTGGTTTTCCATTTGTGGTTTGACATTTGTTTTTTTCTTTTAAGTCCACCGAGATAAACAAATCAGCTGAATGTGGGCGAGGATCTGTTTTACTGTTATCATCTTGAACGAGTGCTTTGCAAGTGTGCGGTTCAGCGGTCTCAAACCCAGAATAGGGCGAAGACCCCCGTCCTTTTTGGGGACCAGGAAGTAGCGACTGTAAAGGCCACACTCCATGTTCTCTGGGGGAATCTCCTCTATTGCATATTTCGAAAGGAAAGAACTAATTTCTGCTCGCAAAACCGGTGCATCCCTGTCCTGCACATCTGACATCCCACCGCTGAAGCAGGGTGGTCTGCGTGCAAACTGAAGCGTATACCCGCTTGAGACCGTGCTCCGCACCTGTTCTGACACTCCTGGAAGCACGCGCCACGCGTCCAAATAGTGAGAAAGGGGTTGGAGTGCCCCGTGACATGTCCGGGACGGCCCGCCGTCTAATGACGGGGAGCCGCCCACCACCTGAGGGGCATCGTAGATGTCTTCTGCACCGGCTGGACCACCGGCATGAGCCGGGGGGACACTTATGCATAGACTGAGAGAGCGCACGTGGCCTGCGCCCTGCAGAGCGCCATTCAAAAACGGGACTCTGCTTATAACGCGCGATTGGGAACAACTGTGAGGGGAAAAAAGAGCTCTTTTGCTGAACAGTGTTTGTTTTGTGCTTTTTTGTGCAAACTTTATGTGCTTTTTTCTTTTTTGTGCAAACTTTGACAACAAACATTTCCCCGTCGCCTGCAACATGCGAAGGGACAGGCAGGTGAAACACAGCAAGACGAACTCTCTTGCGAATCGACTCATCGTCCGTCTCAGACCACCCCAGTCAGGAATGCTGCTGTGGATCTGGCACAGCACCAGAAGGACAGGGTTCCATCTTCTTCAGGTACCGGAACTGCCTTGCTTTCGGTCTCACGGCTGGCTCCAGGTCCACCCTCGCTCTTGAGGAAGGAGCAGGTGGCGGTCTTTCGCTCCTTTTTGAACGCTGCGAAGAAGAGGATCTGGAACGTGGCAGAGGTGCAGCGGACTGATCTCTCTTCGGCAGGAAATGGCTCATCGCCTTTGACTGTTTCTGGGCCTCCAGAAACTTCTCAGAAAACAAGCCCACAGCATTACCAAACAGGCTGAGCGGGGA